ATGATATGTTTAGTTCCCCAAGTTTTGATGAGCAAATTTATTATGATGAAAGCATGATGTAACACCCACGATGTGGCTATATCTCCCACGTGTCGGAGCACGACTTAGAGGCATAACCGCATTTTAGGCATGTCGCAAGAGGGGTAATCTTTACACATCCCATGTACTGAATAAGAAAGGGATAAAGAGTCGACTTACAATTGCCACTTCACACAATACATAAATATAGCATTACATCATCCAGAATACAATCAAGGTCCTACTACGGAACCAAATAAAGAAAGACAACCCCTAATGCAATAGATCCCCGATCACCCCAACTGGGCTCCACTACTGATCAACTGAAACGGAACAACACAACGAACACGATCTTCATCGAGCTCCTCCTTGAACTCGGTTGCGTCACCTGCAATGGTATCATCGGCACCTGCAACTGGTTTTGGAAGTAATCTGTGAGTCACAGGGACTCAGCAATCTCACACCCTCGCGATCAAGACTATTTAAGCTTATGGGTAGGAAAAGGTAGTGAGGTGGAGCTGCAGCAAGCACTAGCATATATGGTGGCTAACTTACGCAAATGAGAGCGAGAAGAGAAGCAAATCACGGTCGTGAACTAGAAGTGATCAAGAAGTGATCCTGAAAGTATTTATGTTCAAGCATAACACAAGAACCGTGTTCACTTCCCGGACTCCGCCGGAAAGAGACCATCACGGCTACGCATGCGGTTGATGCATTTTAATTAAGTTAAGTGTCAAGTTTTCTACAACCGGACATTAACAAATTCCCATCTGCCCATAACCGCAGGCACGGCTTTCGAAAGTTCAAAACCCTGCAGGGGTGTCCCAACTTAGCCCATCACAAGCTCTCACGGTCAACGAAGGATATTCCTTCTCCCAGGAAGACCCGATCAGACTCGGAATCCCGGTTACAAGACATTTCGACAATGGTAAAACAAGACTAGCAAAGCCACCCGAATGTGCCGACAAATCCCGATAGGAGCTGCACATATCTCGTTCTAAGGGCACACTGGATGAGCAAGACGTCAGGTTGGCATAGACCTTGGTTTCCCAGGGGGCGCTAGACATTGCTCAGGTCAGACCAACACTTAGAGAAGCACTGGCCCGGGAGGGTTAAAAATAAAGATGACCCTTGAGACTGTAGAACCCAAGGGAAGGTTGTAGGTTGTTAGTGCAAATGTAAAACCAAGGTTGGGCCTTGCTGGAGGATTTTTATTCAAAGCAAACTGTCAAGGGGTTCCCATTATAACCCAACCGCGTAAGGAACGCAAAACCAAGAAACATAACACCGGTATGACGGAAACTAGGGCGGCAAGAGTGGAACAAAATACCAGGCATAAGGTCGAGCCTTCCACCCTTTACCAAGTATATAGATGCATTAATTAAAATAAGAGATATTGTGATATCCCAACAAATATCCATGTCCCAACATGGAACAAACTCCATCTTCACCTGCAACTAACAACGCTATAAGAGGGGTTGAGCAAAGCGGTAACATAGCCAAACAACGATTTGCTAGGACAAGGTGGGTTAGAGGTTTGACATGGCAATATGGGAGGCATGATATAGCAAGTGGTAGGTATCGCAACATAGCAAAAGAGCGAGCAACTAGCAAGCAAAGATAGAAGTGATTTCGAGGGTATGGTCATCTTGCCTGCAAAGTTCTCCGAGTTGACGAAAGCTTGATCCTCGTAAACGTACTCAACGGGTCCTCAATCACGTACTCGTCTCCCAGCTCTACCTAAGGCAAGAACACAAGCAAAGGGAACCACAATCAACCACGGTGCAATGCGCAAGCAACATGATGCAAAACATGGCATGATATGCGGGATGTGATATGCAATGCATATGCATGCTCCGGAAGGAAAATATTGAACCAGGCATCAACTTGGCAACCCAAGTGCGCCTATGGAAAGATGAGTTGATTTCGGTCAAAATTGATATAAAAATCACCAGAATCGGATGCACGGTTTGGAAATGGTAAGCAAAACAAGAATGGCACGATTCTGCGATTAACAGCACAATGCCATCTAGAATGCAATAAGAAACTAAGCTACTGCACTCCAACATAGCAAAAAAGCACATGGCAGTGATCTACTCAAGATGCTTAACAAAATATAAACACTGAGCTACGGCTAAACCACACAAGAGCATGTTCAAACAAGCATGGCAAAAGGGTAAAAGATATCAGCATGACAGACTTAGTGAAAATACTAACATGTCAGGAATTAACATCAGGAAGCAATGTTTAGAGCAAGATAACAACATGCTACAGGAACATAACATAGTAATACAAGGCATGGCGTGAATCTACTCAAAGCATATAAAAAAGTCCCTTACTGACCATAAGCCAAAAAGGATCAGAAGATATGATAGCACCCATGTAAACATAGCAAGTTTCGTTAATAGATTTAGACTTTGCAGAAAACTGGACATGCCATAAATAGAATTATGAAGGCATGTTTGCGAGCTTGATGCACTCAACACTAGGCATTGCATGACAAGATAAGCATACTACCAGAAAGAAGACATGATCATGAAGCTAACCAAAGCAAGAACAAGTTCATAGCATGCATGGATCAACTACAATGACCTTGGCAAAATTGATTAGCATGTAAACAATCTGCCAGGAACATTGTATAGCAAAAGTAGAGCAAGATTGAGTCATGCTAGGGCACTCCATAAATGCAAATAGGGACATGAATGGATATAGCATAACCATATCTCAAAATCATCCTTACTGTACATACTCAAAAGAAGCATGGATCACTCTGTAGCAACATGAATACATGGCATTGAACATATAAACCTTGCTAGAGTACCCGCCCATCCGGGGGCATTGCGCGCGCGCGACGCGTTTGGCCGCAGGATTGGGTTGCTCGAAGTGCAACAGTGTTTTTTTTGGCTGTTGGTGTCTGGTCAGCCGTCCACTTTTTTTAACCTTCATGACTGCTTCAGAAGAGGATGACGGGTGGGGTCGCGAGCCTATGGGTCCATCGAGCAGAGGGAGGGTTTCCTAGAGCCTGCGTGAACAAGGCAGAGCAATCCACTCCCGAAAACGAGATCCTCGGCAAGAGCCAGGCCAATCCTCTCCCGGAAACCTAGCGCTCTCGGGACAATCCTCCGTGTTCCCTCCTCGCTGCGCCGCCTCCTCCTCCCCTCCACTTCTTTCCTCCTCCTCTCGAAGGCCCAGCGTGTTGTCACCATCGCCGCTCGTCTCTTTCTTCCCACGACGCCTCCCCATCCTCCATCTGCAGTCGCCGTGGCTGTGGGCGCGCAGCGGCCAAGCGGGAGGCAGCGGCAGGCGTAGGCGGGAGATGAAGGGAGGCAGACGCGGTCGGGCCGCGGCGGCGGCAGGCGTGGTGGCTGCGGAAGGGCGCAGCAGAAGCAAGCAACACTAGGCGTGCAGCGGCAGGCGTAGGCGGGCGGTGAAGGGAAGCAGACGCGGTCGGGCCGCGGCGGCTGCGGAAGGGCGCAGCAGAAGCGAGCAGCGCCGGGCGTGCGCGGGGTAGCGCCAAAGGGCGCGGGACAGGGCGCAACGCTAAAGGGCGCAGGACAGGGCGCGGCCGACGCGTTCGATGCGCAAACGAGCCGTGCACAGGGCTGTCAGGCGGGGCGAGCAGCAGCGCGTGCGGGTGGCACCCAGAAGCAGCAGCGGGCTCGCGCGGGTGGCGCGGGGCGCGGCCTGCAGAGCCGACGGGCGGTAGAGGGCGGGGGCACACGCCCCAACCACAAAACCCCAACTCTGGCGGCCTCGTCTCCCTCCATCGCCGCTGCTCCACTCGATCTGGGGCCTCCCCTTGTGTCTTCCAGCCACCAATTAATCCCTCCGCTCTCGAGCCCCGTGTCACCCCCTCCGCCTCCTCCCCTTCGTGTTTCTCCTCCTCCCGCTAAGGCTCCATGGCGGCGGACTGGCTCAAGGCGGGGGAGCGGCGGATACATCGGCGGCGGCGCGAGAGGAGCGGTGGTGGCGGCGTCGAGCTGCGATGAGGTGCCGCTCGGGCACGAGACAACAGAGACAGTGGCGGCTGTTTCGGGGCCCGATCTGGGGAGGGTACGAGGCAGGGAAGGACGCCGTCGTAGCCTTCGTTGGTCTTCCTTCCACCCCTTTTGCTCCATCTGATTTGCCCTCTTCCTATCCCTCTTGCTCGCCAGCGGAGACTCCTCCCCTGCTTCCGCACGCCGCCCTCGAGTTGGAGGAAATGAGGACAACATGCGGTCGAGCTCAGGCCGGTGACATGTGCGCTGTCCGTCTCTTATGTTTCCCTTATGTCTCTTTGCCTGAGTTTTACGGCCAGTATTGCCTTAGTGTCCCAGATGCTACTACTACTGATTACTCGCAGTAATCAGAAATTTGTACTTATGATACACAAATCAGTTACTTTAATACTTTGCCTATTTCACTAACCAATCTTCATATAAATATATAATAGAGGATAAGGCCATGGAAGCCCGAATGGGTTCTGCTGGTGGTCACACTGGTAGGAACGGCATTGCCTGTTAGTTATTATGAGAAGTATGTTGGGAGATTGCCACCTTCCTGAAAATCACTGGATAAAGAAGCCATGTGATGGAAAACCAGAGTGCCAAAAGAAGGTGGATTTGGCAGTTGTTGCTCCATGAGACAAGTTTATTTGCCTGCTCAAAATTCGGACCTAGAAAGGATGAAACCAGATGGAACGCAAAAGCTACATGGCAGAGCACATTTTGGGCACTGGTTCGTTTGGTGCCGTCTTTCAGATGATTGCTCTAGCCAATATTTGTTTCTCTGTTTGTGTTGTCCATCACCAGCCTGATGTTTAGCGAAATGGTTGCATGTGTAGGCTAAATTCTTGGAAACTGGGGAGACGGTGGCCACTAAGAAGGTACTGTCGGGAGCTGCAGCTTATGCGTTCGATTAACCATTCCAATGTTGTCTCCCTCAAGCACTGCTTCTTCTCAACCACAAGTGAAGTGAGCTGTTTCTGAACCTTGTCATGGAGTATGTCCCGGAGACGCTCTACCGCGGGCTTAAGAACTACAGTAATGCCAAACAGGGGATGTCACTTATCTACATCAAGCTCTACACCTATCAGGTTTGTGAATTGTCAATGAATAAATGTGAAATTTGTGTCTTCCATTGTGCAACTATTCTAAGTCAATTCTACATTGGTGGTGTATATTCAGGGGGCTCGTGTACATTCATTACTGTTCCTGGAGTCTGTCACGGGGATGTGAAGCCACAAAATGTTATGGTATGCATCAGTCAATACTTGATGTGTGCATCACTTATGCAGAGGCCAGGGTCATCCCCTTCTGAAAAAACAACGGTCAGTGAACATATTAGCTCAGTTATCATGTGTTCTCATGCTTGCTTTTGAACTTGCCTTCACTTGCTTCCTTGTACAGATGGGCAGGGCCTTTGGATGGGAATCATCTTCGGTATTTTGGTCCAGGTCTTGTTGTTCGTGCCCATCACACTGCACACCATCTGGCAAAATAAGGTATGTGTTCAAAGGTTGTAGCTTGACTAGGCCATTTCTGGTTTCTCAGATTTAGGATCATGTGTGTAAGTATAAAGTAAACCATGTTTCGTCAACTGAATATGTGTATGTATGCATAGGCAACAAAGTTCAAGAACAGAGTCTTCACTTCTTCTCTTCCAACGGATATCCACGTAACTACAACATCCATTTTGGTATGTGGTATCGCAAGTGTAAATTCAGGAAAAAAAACTATATTGGTTAGTGCGAGCTGAAAATTTTGTTTTTCAGTATGTATAGGTATTGTGGGTTGTAACACACCATGGTTAAAACAAAATAAACAAGCCGTGAGCTTAACTCGAATGATACAACCACTCAGCTAAGGTGACTTACTGAAATGAATATGTCGAGCAGAAGGAGCTAGAGTGAGATCGTGTTGTACCAGTTATCAAACGATATTTTTTAGAAGGAAAGAGTAGTAGTCTAAACATATTAGAAAAACAAAAGTAGATTGGTTTACCCTAAAAGTTTACTCAACCTTATTCTTTATTGTGCAGCAACCATGTTGACAGCCTGGCATCTCTTTGTTCCATTCTATTGACTTCATGTGGCATTATGTATGAAGCCCTTTGAGCACAAATCTTTCTATGGAAGGTCCTTCATGGGATTTGGAGTGCTCAATGGCATCTCAATTTGGCTTCTCAATCAGAGTCTATGTTTCAACTCTGTTGGTTTCTATCAGGTAAGCATTGTTCTTTGTTTCTGTCCAAACTTCTAAAAAATGAATGGTCAGTTCTTTTTGGTGTTGGAGTTGCAAATTTGGCTGAAATCCTAATTTCTTAAAATAACTCTGAACCATGTATATATTTGCAGGGCAAGTCGAGTGCATTGGTTGGATCTATATTCCTGATATTGCATAGGACTTGTCAAAAGGTTAGCACTTATTCTATAATGTGGGTCACATAAAAATCAAAATTTTAATTTCTGAAATAAGACTGAACCATGTATATATTTTCGGATAACAATTTGCCTCTAATATCTATGTACCTTATTATTCTGTCGCCGCTCTTCCGATTTGCTCGGGTACCTTACTATTTCTCCCTATTATTGTGTTTTCTCAAAGTTGTAATCCCATATCGTAATTAATTCCTTATAGTATACTTGCTTTTGCTCCTGTCATCATAACAAACCTATTTAACTCATGACATGTGTAATAGTCATTTGTACCCATTTAATCTCTTCTGGAGCTCTTCATGAATCTATGCTCTATTTGCTGAAGAGGGTTCAATGCAGTGTCTTCAAAGGTCGGGAAAAAATGTTATGATGCAGAGGGGACAGCATCTTGAAGGGAGCAATGTTTTGATACTTGCTTTATAGGAATTATCTTTCTTTGCCTAGAACTTGTGATTTATGGCTGATGTCTATTCCATCTTTGTAGGTGCTTCTCAATTATAGATGGAAAACTTACCATGGAGGCACATAGCTTGCTGATTTTGTTTCTTGATTGGCCCTTGAGAGGGAGACCGACACAAACTTCAGCAGGTTTCAGGTGTGCGACCTCTATTCCTTGTGTTTGTTTCCCTCGCTGAGCTTGGGCATTGTACATTTTGGTAAATATAGTTAGTTACTTTGTTTACTGGCAATTGTGAATATTCAGAGCACATACATGCTTGGTTTACTTCAGTTAGTACCTGCCATTCAGTAATCAGGACTGAAGAAAATGTGCCTCCCTATTTTGTGCACATAAATACTTAGCTTACTGTGAGCAAATTAAGTAAACTTATACAATAAGCTTGTTCATTGTTTCACTTGTGGAAACTAAACTACTACTCTGTTAAATTCATTATAGTCATCTTTAAAGGAGTTGTGGTTGGTTGCCATTGTGGTGAAGTAATTTCTTGCTGAAGCACCGTTCTAAATTTATCATTGGTTTCGCTGGTGCTGCATGTAAGTGGGATTACTAATTGTTCCATTGGTTTTGCTCTGGTGAGTTCTTCCCCATATACCTTTGATGCTTTTGCCTCCATACCTTGGAGCTGGTATTTTTTCAAGGTTTATCATGTTTTTGTGGTAGAGTTTATAATCATTTGTCTTCTTCAATGAATGTCTGTGCTATGATATTCTGTAAGGCTAGGCACACACTAAGTTGGTTAATGCTTTTGAGCTAGCTTGTTGGGAGATAATGAAACAATAATGTTTATCTGCTCACAATGCCTTATATTGATTCTTCTGGATAGGTATTTTAATCGTAAGAGATGTCTCCAAAAAAGCAAAAACAACAATTCACTGTTGATTTACTTTTCTATGATTGCTCCCATTAGATTGTCCTTAAATCATGTGCAAAGCTGAAGTATTGTTCGCTGACTATCAACCTGACAGATCAGATGGGATGATGATGCAGAGTGTTAAAAGGCCTAATGGGTTATCTCGTTGGTAGATGAATCTTGTTGGATTGATTTCAGGCCATTGAAAATAGATGACACCATGCCTCCCCCAGTTAATGAACATGTGTCGCTTCCAAGTAATAATGAATTTTCTATTCTCTTTGCTCTGCTAAACTTTCTTTTCTTTTGCCATTTTGGCTGGTAGTCTTTCATAGAATTTTGTGATATCTACTTGACTCCACAAGGTCATGCAACATTAAGAATTGCCGGGTTTGAAAAACACAGGATGGAATTGTTAATTCATTATCTCTGTCTGAAGCAAGACATATTTGGTACACTGTTGAATAGAGTTGATGTATCAGCATGAGTAACATTGTGATATTCTAAGGGTTGGTGCTAAAAACCCACCTAGAAACTATTGTTTTCCTAGCAACTATGTGGTTCATATGTTAATATGATTTTTTACTGGTAGGACAACCAGGAGGTAGTGCAATATCCTTATTAGTTATACTCAGGGATGCAAAATCTTCACCTGATGATTCCACCCCTTTTTACATGACACTAGCTGCTGCATAGTAAAAAGAGTCTCGCCGATGCTCTTTATGACACCAACTGACAGATTAATAAGTGCACTCATAGAGAACATAACAAGGTATTTTAGGAAGTGCTTGGACTAGGTTCAAATTTTTGACAGTTTTAGGCACGCTTTTTTTACAGTGTTGGTTTCAATTTTTTTTCCGACACAGTTAGACTTTCTGAAATACAACGTTGAACTACATATGAAACAATAGTGTTTATTTGGTCACCAGCAAGATGATGATGTGAAACAGATGACTTTGCGTCTTTCAGAATTTCTACCATTAAATAGTTTCCCATAACAGAATATTTGCTAATATTGGTAGCTAAAAATGAGATACTTATGCTTGTTGATGCCTTCCCTTTTTGTAGTAACATCCATTTGTCCAGCATATGTAGAATATTAGTTTTTTTGGCTGTTTATCGTAGTTCGTTCTCAAGGTTTGGAAAATTCTTTAGCTATATTCCTTGTCTCAAGCGAGCATGAGCAATATCTTCTTTATGCCGCATGCCGCCAAGTTTCTCTATTTTAGATGGTTGTGTATTTTTGCTTCTAAAAAGGGATATGTATTTTATTAATCTGACTATAATTTGTGGTAGGTACATACTGAAGGATGTTCTGAGGCTAGCACCTGGTTTAGAAGTTTTACAATTCACAACAATACCTCATAATTTTGATTTGATGTCCAGAATGTAAATTGAAGAATGAGCCTATGAATTGCATTGTATTTTGTAATATATCCTTATATATGGTGCTTGTGGCTGGTTTTTTTGCAATTATAAGTTTATGTTTATGGGTATTATAGAGTCCTTTCTTTTTCTACAAGGGGCAGTAGCCGTGTCATTCGATTCGAAGGACAAAGAGTTGATCACAAAGGGGTAGCACTCAGGATATATACACAAGAGTATAGAACCAAATTATATGATGTAATTGACCACTATTTCTATTAACTTCTCCTGTACAAATGTTCACGAGTTCATGTATTAAGTACATTTTATTGTGTCACTTGTGTTTTCTCTTTTTTAATGCAAGTTTACAGCTACTCGGAGTTCCTAATTGCAGACTCAACTATTTTGACCTACCAATGATCTAATTTGTGGCATTATTACCTTCAAAAAATATTTGCATTTAATTTCCTTTATGTATAGGGGTATAAGTTCTTACCAAATGTACTCAAATATACGGTTATTGAAAAAATGCAAATATTTTGAACACAAACATGGTTTTAAACGGGACTTTGCGCCATTTGGCGCAACTGGTCATCTAGTAAAAATAACAGCAGACAAAAACTTAGTGAAATTCTAAGTCCCTGAAAACAACAACATCACGAAAGTTACTTTGCATGCTTGTGCTAGTCACCACATTGATCACAAAAATACATGGCATACACCCCTGTAAAGATGGCATGGCATAGCCCAAAACACATGTAGGGCTCAAGCTCATATGCAGCACACATTAATAATGGCAAAAATGACAAATGCTCATAATCTGATAAGAATCAGGAACTAACATTTTATAGCACTCTTGCAACAGTCATTAGGGAATCAAGATGGACGCAAACAAGCATGGCAGAATGAAACAAAATGAGGAGAACATCATGATGAACATTTCGATATATTACACGCGCAAAACGGAGCTACAGATGAGAATTTATGATGCGATGAACAGGGCTTGAAAATATCACAGATCTGGGGACTTGGCCAAAATATCACCTCGCAGAAACGAGACGGAGGGATCCGGGGATGCCGTTTGGATGGGTGGCCCGGTGGATCTCATCCACTCGGGATGGATCTGGGACGGGGCCATCACGGCGGTGGCAGAGGTGGCCGGAGGCCGGCCGTACATGGCGGCACGGGCGCGGCTCCAGCGAGCACGCGAGCAGCGGCGAGGGGACGGCTCCGGTGGTGCAGCGCGGAAGTCGAGGCAGCGCATGGCGGCGGTGATGCTAGTCAGCGGCGGTGGCCGGCGGCGAGCGAGCAGGGCGGTGCGGCCGACCGGTGAGGCGAGGCGGCGGAGGCATGCGGGCGCAGGGCGGCGGCGAAGCGCGGTTGGCAGCGGAGAGCCGGCGGGCGGCAGCGAGGCCGGGTGCCTGCAGGCTCGGGCGGCCGGGATCCGGGCCCGGGCGGGCCGGATCTGGGTTCCGCGGGCCCGCGGTGGGAGGCGCGCTGACCAGCGGCGGGGTCGGGCGATGTGGCGCGCTCCGGTTGGTCGGGAGCGGCCGCTAGGGTGAGGTGGCATGGCCTGATTGGTTCGGGTGATGTGGCGGCGACGGTGGACATGTCCGGCGACGAGATGGACATGTCCGGCGGCGCGAGGAGGAAGAGGACTAGGGTTAGACTGCGAATTTTCGGAGGGAGACACATATTTATAGGTAGAGGGAGCTAGGAGAGTCCTAATGAGGTGCGGTTTTCGGCCACGCGATTGTGATCGAACGACCGAGAGGATGGAGGGGGTTTGGATGGGTTTTGGGCCACTTTGGAGGGGTGTTGGGCTGCAACACACACGAGGCCTTTACGGTTCCTCGGTTAACCGTTGGAGTATCAAACGGACTCCAAATGGTACGAAACTTGACAGGCGGTCTACCGGTGGTGTACCAAGGCCGCTTGGCAAATATCGGTACAATCCGAGAATGTTTAACACCCACACAAGAAAAGAGGCAAAAGGGGGCGCCA